CACTCCTCTCAGTCAAAATTACAATTATTATATTTTGCTGGCAAAGTAATATCATTTTTTAAATTAATAATTTTTTTATTATGGAAAACTAATTCTTTTTTATTTTCTAATAATTTTTTGGTGCTCTCTAGTAAAGTTGCTGACTTTTGATAAACACTTTTGACAGTTTGGAACTTTTGAATTAACTTTTTAGCGTTGACTGGTCCTATTCCTTTTATTCCTTCTATGTTATCAACATTGTCTCCTAATAAACTTAAATAATCAGCATAATTGGGAGGCGGGAAATTATATTCGTGGGTGAAATGATTACGAGTGTAGAGAGTAATTTTTCCATTAATATACTTTAAAATATTAGTATTTTTATTAATTAATTGGAGTAAATCTTTGTCGCGAGTAAAAAATATCAAAAATTATCTCAGGATGGGTTTGGCTATTTTGCTTAATAAAAGAAGCAATTAAGTCGTCCGCTTCTTGATTTTCTAATTGTCAATAAATAATGCCAGTTTTTTCCAATAATGGTTTGAGTATTTTCATTTGCTCTCATAATTCGGCGGGCATTTTTTCTCGGTGGGCTTTATACATGGGGAGGAAAGTTTTCCGCCAATTAGTTCCACCGCCATCGAAAACCACTAATAATTTTTGATAATTCTCTTTTTTTAGCACACTGATTAGCACTCGCAAAAAGAAAAAAAATTGCTCCTTGTTTTATTTGCCAAGATAATTTTTGGGTGACGTGATAAGAAGAATAAAGTAAATTATTACCATCCACTATTAGGCATTTTTCTTTCATAGGTGTAATGTGTTATATAACTAAAATAGCTAATTAGGTTTTTTAATAAAATAATTGTAATAATTAAAATAGGTTTTTTTATGACTAACTTTATTTATCTGACTTTATTCCCTGCTTATTTTACTAACTATTTTCAAATCTCCCTCGCCAAAAAAACTTACCAAAAAAAACTGCTGTCTTATCAAGTTTATAACTTGCGGAATTTTGCTATCGGCGGGCAAGTGGATGACTATCCTTATGGTGGCGGAGCCGGAATGTTATTAAAAATTGAGCCACTGGTGCGGGCTTTGGCTATTATTCAAGAGTCTTATTCTAACAGTTATCTTATTTTACTTTCTCCCCAAGGAAAGACTTTTCAACAAAAAGACGTGCCGCGCTTGCTGAAACAATCACCCAATCTGGTTTTCATTTGTGGTCATTACGAAGGCTTTGACGAGCGAATTTGATATTATATTGACGAGCAGATTTCCGTAGGCAATTTTATTACTATGGGGGGAGAAATACCCGCCTTGGCCATTACTGACGCTTTAATTCGGGCTATCCCGGGAGTTATTCCAGAACAATCTTACCAGCAAGAAACTTTTACTAATTCCCAGTTAGACTTTGCTACTTATACCCGCCCTGTCATATACGAGGACTTAAAAGTCCCCCCCATTTTGCTATCTGGTCATCATAAAAAAATTAAGGAATGGCGCCAAAAAAACAGTGCAGAGAAAACGCAAAATAAAGAAAAAAAATATAAAAATGATAATAAAATCATCCCCCATCCGAACAAATGACGACTAAGCAAGTATAATAAATGCTAGACAAAAATGAGATTGAATAATAATA